GTTATGTACCCAACACAAGCATTGTTATGCAAAATGTGGATGAGCACATAAAGAAAGAAATAGTTCTGGGTCATAGTGAGAAACTAGCCATTACCTTCGGGATTATCAGCAAGCCTGCAGGTACCCAGATCATGATCATAAAAAATCTAAGAGTATGTTCAGACTGTCATGAATTTACCAGACTGATTTCAAAGATTGAAAAGAGGGAAATTATAGCGAGGGACTCAAGCCGATTCCACCATTTCAAAGATGGAGTTTGCTCTTGTGGAGATCACTGGTGAGCTTGAAAAACTAGAATTACATAAACATGAATTCGTAATTAGAATTTTTGCAACTTGTTAACAGGCAACAGTCTCTTTCTCTAAATACATCATTTTCGATTTCCAAGCTTATCTTAAAAATATAAATGTTACATTGTATAAAATTATAATCTGAATATTATATTTATCAATTACTTTTCACCAGGTAATGAGAAAGGAGTGAAGGGCAGCACAAGATTACCGTCAGCCCTCAGGAATTTTTGACCAGTAGGTACTATTTCCCATGGTCTTTTAACCTTTCATCATTTAGTTTCCTATTGATCCCAAGGACACCAGCCCCATGTTCAGAAGAGAGTTATAATTTTTAACTATCTAATTGTTTAATGTTATTTAAATCACTAACTAAATAAATATTAATAAAGATATCATCTGAGAAAGGCATGTTAGGGGCCTTTGGTACACAAATAATATTATATAAGCAGATTACGTATCGACATTTATGATTCATTGACTAATCACAAACATAGTTCATCAGAACAGAGTATTACAGATTATTGTATAATATCAATTTGACATCAAAGTCAATCAAACCCGGTATTCCTCAAGTTGAACATCCTTGCCCTTCAATGGAACATATTCTGCTAGCAAATAAACCTCCAGGTGATTTGATAACTCCATCTTATCAATGTTTTCATGATGGTAGGACTTGCAGACGAAGTAGATCACTGTCTGGATCACCAGCCCAAACAGATTCAACATAGAAAGCACCAAGAAACAGAGGATTGCATACGACACCCGGTCCACCATGGGCACCAATCCCCAACGTCCATACACCACCAGCATCTGAAACGCGTATTGAACTAACAAAAAAGAGAGAATGAGCATGAAAAATATAACCATGGCAATTATAAGCTTGCCCCTGATCAGCTGCCGGCTCTTCATCATGGCTTTTAGGCCGTATGACTCCTCCAATACTGATACAACGCAGGCCAGGTACCAGACTACGCTCAGGTAGATGAACCCAACGGTGTACAGGATGAGAAAGATAATGAGCAGCGGAACGGTGGCGGCAGTTCCCCCAAGGAAATAATCAATAGAAACAAAAACTAAAGTTGCTACCATGCTGTAAGCAACTGTGGCAATGAAGATACATAAGAAAGTGATCATGAGACGCTTCCAGACCTTGGGAACAACGGTCATGACCTTACGGAAGGTAAGATCACGTCCGGTGAAGATGCAGGCAACAGTGTACACAACAGCAGAGGTGGAGAGGAGAGAGAGGATGAGGTAGAAAGTGAAGTAGACAACTTTGAAGAGGATGAAGTAAGTCCATTCTTTTGAGAGAAGATCGGAAAGCCTGTGGTAGCGAGAGGTGCCAACTGGAGTGAAGTCCCGACGTAGCTCGGTGAACATGATCTTGCTTAGGAGGAGGTTGGAGACTTCAATGTGAGCAAGGTAGATGAAGGAGAGAGGGAGGATTAGGCAGAGGGTGATCTTGGCGAAGATCTTCCAGTATGAGTAGATGACCTTGCAGGATTCTTTGTAGATTCCAAAGAGCCCCAGAAACTGCATCTCTTCTTGTTCCCTGTCCATGGTGTTTTAACCAGAGTTTCCCTTCAGAGCAAACGTGGAGAAGATGGAAGTGGAATGTGGAATTAAGGATTGAGACTTGGGGGGGGTTTTTGTAGTGTATCTGAGTCTGAATACATCTGGACCGCATGCCCCTTGCTTGGAAATTTAACAAGGGAGGACCAAGTCAATGACCCCAGGAGTAGCCCCTGAGCTTGTAAGCTTTTCACAATTAAGCTCCCAAGTTCATTCCTTTTCAGTTTGGTACTTTTCAAATTAGAGCAAAAAACGCAATAGTTAAGCAAATATAGATAGGATTAGGAGTTGACGTGAACTGGTAGTTTTTGTTTGCTTGTTTTAAAGGCCAGCAATGACTCGGATGTCACTGTTTGATTCACGCGGAGGAGAAAGTCAAAGTCTTTTAATGGAGAAGTCCTTTTCTTCCAAGCCGTGGCCACTGGTCTGAATTGAGGTGCGCTGAGACTACACGTTCCTTCCATTTTCTGATTGCTGGGAA